CATCCGCGCCATCAACAGCGGGGTCACCCTGGCTCCGCACGCAGAAGAGCGCAGTGGACCTGGGGCTCATACTCAACAGGAACGGATACAGGTGTGTGTCGTGTGCGGGCGGGGGGACTGGGAGGGGGGGAGGGGAGGGGGGGCACGGGGGGGATGATGGGTAGGGAGGGGGGGACAACTGGGGGGGGAGGGGAGGGGGGGCGAACAACTGGGGGGGGAGGAGGAGGAGGAGGATGCAACAGAAAGCAAAGGGCAAAGAGTCGGCGGCCAAGCTCCGGACGGCCCAAAAGGGGGAGCGTCAGACTGGTGAATGGGTTGGCCTGAGTTCCCGGTCTTGGGGGCCTCGGGGGGAAGGGGGGAGGTGACGTAGCTCCTGCCGCTCTCGTCAACCTGCGGTGTCCTTTAGTGGCCCCTCTTTGGTGGTCCCCCTTTTTGCCTTAATTAAGAGGCCTATCTGGCTGCCGGCGGGTCTACGGAGGGGCTGGCTGGCTGCCGGCGCTGCACTGTCCGCGCCGTTGTTGCTTCCACCTGCACTCCGCTGCTGCTCTCCCTGCCCCTGGCTCCCATTGCAGTACTGATGCTGCTGCAGTACTGATGCAGTACTGCACTAAAGACATAACCTACATTACCTACTAAACCAATTCAGCCTGTTTTTTGTGTGTTTCGCAGCCACAAGGGTGATCTAGTGCTGCCACCCATAGCGGAGGCCGAGGACGAGGTGGAGACGGGGGGCGAGCCCTCGGAGCGGCGGGGCACACACACACCGCCTGAGCGGACCAGCCACGCCGGGGACCAGCCGACCAGCCGCCGGCGCTCTACGGGCGTCTCCTGCTGCTCCTCGCGAGCCCACAGCTTCCACGCACGCTCCGGAACCTCCAGCGCTATTGCAGCGGCGGCCGCCGCCGCCGTGGCGGCATGCAGTGTTGGCGGCAACGGCGGTGGGAACTCCAGCGGCGCTGGGTCCGCGGACATGTCGCCATCGGGGTCGCTAATAATGCCATCATCGCTGCTGACGGTGGCGGCGACGGCAGCTGCCGCTGCTGCTACGACGGCGGCGGCGTCAGCGGCGGCGGCGGCTCCGCCGACCCGTGGGTCATCGCGATCAATGACTTCGGATGGCGACCCAGATCACGTGCACGACAACCAGGTTTCCACTGTCAGCTTACGTTGCGACCACCCTGTGAATCTCGAAAGGTAACATGCAAAGGGATGGATCTGAAAACTGTACGTTGTACGATGGAACGGTACAGTACGGCAAGCGTTTTCAAACGCTCATCTCTTCTCTCGGCCCTCCCGCCCCGTTGCTGATCTGATCCGATGAGGCCAGGCTAGGAAGCTTCCCACCGGCCGCCTTAGCCTCCCTCCCCGCACATTCTCCCCGCCTAGGCTCTTGGTGCTGATGCTGGTGCTGGGGTGTTGATTTGTTCATGCCATTATGGGTTGGCATTTTGAAAGCTTCCGGATTTAAAGAGCTACCTAAAAACAGCCAGCCCGAAAACTCACATCAGGGACCTGCTCGCGCGAGCAGTCATATATCTGTTGTATATGCCATTTGTTTGTGCTCAATCGGGTGCTGGCTCTGTTCGGCCCTGCTCTGCGCGCACCCAGGTTCAAATCCTGGGTGGATCATTTGTTGTGGGACCGGGACTCCCGGCCTGACGAGATCTACCGCATGAAGGGGCTGCTCTGCGTGGAGGGCAGTGAGAAGAAGTACATGCTGCAGGTGGGGCTGATCACAGTAAGGGGCGGAGGAGAAGGGGGAAGAGGGGGGGGAGGGAGGAGGAGGGAGGGAGGGGGAGGGGGAGGGGGAGGAGGAGGACGGGGAGGAGGAGGAGGGAGGGGGAGGGGGAGGAGGAGGACGGGGAGGAGGAGGGAGGGGGAGGGGGAGGAGGAGGACGGGGAGGAGGAGGGAGGGGAGGGGGAGGAGGGGGGAGGGAAGTAAAGGAAGAAACTGAAAAGGGCGGAGGAGGGGGGGCACTTGAAGGCAAAAGCAGCCCAGTGCCGTAAAATACCGCCTAATGTACCAATGCCGGCGGTGCTTTCTTTCAGTGCAGGCAGTAATGCAAGTATTTGTTTTATTTACCCTTCCCTCAAACGACCCTCAAACAACCCGGATCTCCCCGCTCCACAGGAAAACGCGCCCCCCCCCCAGTTTCTTCTTTTACAGTTCCTGCCTCCGGCGCTCCTTCGCCCTGTTGTCTTTATATCCCTTCATTGAACTCACAACCCGCATACCGCTGTGTTTCTTCCCACCCCGTTTTATTTCGTCTTATTACCGTACAGGCTGTGTACGAGCTGTACGAGGTGGTTTCGGGTCCCGACTGGCAGCCCGGGGAGGTTCGAGCCACCCGGGTTGTCATCATCGGTCGCAATCTGAGGCCGGCGGTCGTGAAGGCCTCCTGGGCGCAGTTTGTTGGCGCGGGAGCATGAGGAGGAGGTTGTGGAGGAGGCGGTGCACTGCATGAGGGACAACAGCAACGCGGAAAGCTAGAGCACCAACAGGGCTAGAAGCGATTGGTGGGGCTGCGGCAGCAGCAGCAGGTGCATAGGAGTTTGGGGGTCGCTGGCTGCGTGAGCCTCCTAGCCAATTGGCACTGTAGAGTTTGGAGCTGAGAAATTAAAGAGCTTCGGACTGACTCCCGCGCGAACGGACGGACGGACGGACAGGCGGACAGACGGACAGGTGGACGGACAGGCGGACAGACGGACAGACGGAACCCTCGGAAGGGTCGTTAGTTGTTTCGGAAGAGGAGGTCGTGTACATCGGACCAGGATGCCGTACATAGGCGCGCTGCTGACGTGTGTTCACGTATGTATGTATGTATTTGTGTATGTCTCTCCCTGTCTGTTCGTCCACATGTTTGGTTACGTAGCCCAACCTAGAAGGGTTGTTTTATGTGGATGTGGGCGCATGTGTGGTCTTGGAAAGGGCCTTCAGCTTGGAAGCGCTTACGAACCCCTTGGCAGCTGTTTGCGCCCTGACTCGCATTTGGGCTCCCATCCATCCATCCATCCGCACCGCCGCCTCTGGACCACACATATTCATGATAGCAGGACATGAACAAGAACAGCAACACGACAAAACATCAAAAAACCTAGTAATACTACTAATGGTAGAAACAACAACAACAACCGGCATAGAGAGAAGGCTCGTACAGCTTTTTTCTCGCGCTGGCTGTTTTTGTGTACGGAGTGCGGGACCAACCTGTAAGCGTTTTTCAGGATCCGGGCATGATTTATTGTGCTTGTGTACGGCATGTGGCAGGATGGTGAGTTGCTGGTACGGCAGATGGAAGCTGGCCACGATAGCACGTGGGTTATCTGAATGACGACACCGGGGGGGGGGAAGGGGGAGGAACAGGAGTCTTATTTAGGGTTTATAAACCCTAAGCTCGTGTTCTTAAAACGGCATAGGTGCGAATGCAAGCCCTTTCGGCATCTCCTTTTGGGGACGAAACGCCCATCATTTTGAAATTTGTTTGCTCTGAGAAAGGCAAAAGGTTTACCCGTGGACATCTCCTTTATTTCGCCATAATGCGCTTGCACAAAAGTTAATGTATGCTAGGCTCTTCCGGAAGACACGCGCCCACCCGCATGTATTCGCCCTTTCGACATCCTTTCTGGTACGACGTGTTATGTTGATTTTTGTACAGTATGTTTTCGTAGAAATACGACGCGGAGCTGTCGTACCCGAACCTCGGGCCACAGCTCTGTGCGAGAAACCAACCCCCTCTTGGCATTTTGCGGCGCACGTATCCCGCCCTCCTCATGGCTTGAACGAGGAGGGAAAGCACCTCATGTTTTGGCTGTTTTCCTGTTTCAGCATCACCTCGTGCTGTCGCGCGATGTATTTGTGTACCCCTGCTGTAGGTCTCGCGGGTTTATTTATGCCCCTGTTTGTTCACACGCTTGATGGTGGGTGCCAATTACTTCATTGCTTGGCGCGATGCGTCGGCGCATGTTTTCCTCCTCCTTGCCTCCCTCGCCTCCTGTGGGCTCGACATGCCCACATGCAGTTTAAGCCAAACTCTCTCGGCAACAAAACGAGGCATTCATCGTTTGATGTAAACTATCCTTTCCTTTTACTCTCTGCAGAGTACCGGTGGGGCCTCAAGACAGGTTTTCCTAGGGCCTCTCTCTCTCTCTCTCTCTCTCTCTCTCTCTCTCTCTCTTGAGTTTTTGCAATGACCAAGGTCAATGCGCAAGGAAGGATAAGTTGCATTGCAATGTGTGGCAGCTTTACAGCTTTAAGGGCGGGAAACACATCGCTCGCAAGCGCGTTGCATGTGGGGGGGCGGGGACATAGGAGCTTGGAACTCTAGATACAAAATGATGGACGTGCCGATACGAGAACGACTGGCCTGGGGCCGAGACAGGTGGTGTTTGTGTGTGTGGAGGGGGGGAGAGGCCGGATGATACACTCGTGGTAGGGTGCTGACGGGCCCCGCGCCGGGTGCGCCCCTTGTGCTCGAACACTCCATTTTTTTTCTTTTGCGACCTCACTTCCGCAAATCATCTTTTTTTCTTTTTTGCACGTCCGGTATTCAAATTAAAATTTGCCAAGTTACTTCTTGAAGAAAAGTTCTGCACCATGTGGTACTCATCGAGGCAGCCAAGCGCACAGAGATACGTCCCAACTGTTTCTTCCCGTTGCGTTGTGCGCTGTTATCATAAGGGCCGGACTGCGAGGTGTACATTTACCGGACGGCAGGGGGGTCGTGACGGACACGGTAGGTCAAACTCCACTGAGGGTCTAAGCTGGTCTAACTGTGAAGGAGTGATAACGCACAGCAGCTCGCCTCTGCAAGCCGAAAGAAATCCTATGGGACCTTGGCTTTTCCATCGGGTCGATGGCACCGACTGGGAGGTCCTGAACCAGACAAGTTAGGAGCTCAGACACGGCGACAGGGCTGGTAGGCCTGGGTGGTTGATGGTGTACAGCAAGTCCTTGCCGACGACTTTCTTTTATGCTTGTGCGAAGAAGAAACAATAGATGTGTTTTAGAATATTACATGATCTGTTGAAGTGAAAGGACTGTATCGCCTCTCGCTTCTTTCTCGTAGCAAGTTGTGTGGCGCAGTTGTGGCCGCGATGCCGCGAGTGGTTCAGGTCGTGCGGTCTTGCCGCGTGCTGCAACATCTACATACAGCTGAGCTACTATTATCCTTACAATCAGCACCAGTAACGGCATCAGCGAGTTGCCAGGCATCCACATCGGGCTCGGGCTATGAACGCGATGTCTATTGCTCTTTGCGGGCGTTGGACCATCGACATTTTCATCGGCGATTGTTCAGCTCACTTGCTGTAAGTCGCATTTGTAGCTGTTACGGTCGGTCGCCATCTCGCGACCATCCAACTGAATTGGTGTTGCACCGCAGGGCACAAGAGCCGCCAGGCTCCGTGAAGTAACAGAAGCCCTTATGTTGCCGCCTACAAGCTTGCATTTTGACCGGGGCGATGTGCCCGTACCGGAGGACCTGAATAACCCTCTTGGCCGTGCGATGTTGAGACTTATGGGTTTCGAAAGCAAGGCTTCAAAAATTCTGCATGGTACGCACTACTGAGATTGAATGTGTGGGACTTGATTTCCAGGGCGTGCTCTGGCAGACCGAGGTAGTGAACTGCGTGAATAGGAGGACTCTGAAGTCCTGTCCTTCCCCGCCCCATGCACATTCTGGCATCCTATCCCTGGCCCTCATCTATTTCCTCCTCTATCCGCCTAACTGACTTAACGACCCACGTTGCGCTGCATCTCACTCTCGCCGTTGCCTGTGCAGCGGCCCAACGGTTGTACGAGGCCATCGCAGAGAATGCGGACACGGGCGTCATGCAACGAGGTATACCTCGAGGATTTGTCCTCCGAAACCTGTCGTAAAAAAAACACTATCTCGGTTTCCACAATTGAGATGTCTCTACGATTTCCCATCCATCCTACCTTCATACCATTTTACGCTATTTCCATGTTAACCCCCAGCCTCACCCACCAGCCTTTTCCTAACCCCCAATGTATGAACTCCGCTCCCCTTCCTCTGTTCGCATATGCCGCCCATCCGCGCACAACCGACTGATTGTTGCAGCTTTCCAGACTGGCACCACGTTTTGGGCGACCTACGTGCTCCTGTCCCTCCACGTGTGGATGATCATCCACCGGCTCCGCAACTGCGGCGGCCCCGATGTGCGGGTGTTCCGGCAGCGGTTGTACAACCAATTTCAGGCGAACGTGGAGAACCGGGTTTACTCCGCCGGGGTTCAGGTGGGGTTGGGAGCGGTGGGGGAGAGGCGGGGAACTTAAGGCGATGAGACCTTGGGTGGGGGAAAGGTCGAGAGGTGGCCATCAAACCCCAAGAACCCTGAAAACGGAGTGCCGAGTGCGAACACCCTTTCAGGATGTGCAAACGCATGTCGATACATACATACATACATGCATACGCCTACTCAAGACATCCTGGACTCAAGACAAGACAACCCAGTTCCATGTAAACAGCACAACATGCGCCCGCCCGCATTTGACACTCGACGCTTTGGCAATCGACGCACTTTGGCTGGTTGACAGGTTTTGCTGGAATTTATGGGCTATTAATAATTTCCTTCGTGTTGTATTATCTATCTGCCACTAAGTAGTAGTGATATCTGTGAATACGTGTGTGGTGTGATAATACGTGCAGGTCGGCGTCACGAAGTGGCTTAAAAAGTTAGAGGCGCACTTTTACGAGACGGGCTTTGAGCTGGACGAGGTGGGGTGGGTCGGCTCCCGGGAGGGGCTCTGAGCTCAGCGGTGCCAGGGGGGCGCGGGCCGCGTGCAAGTGCGGTGGCGATGGCGATGGGGACCTGAGACATGGCGAACATCTATACAATATGTATTGACCTGTTGGCTGCTGGGGATGCTGAGGACGCAATGGCTCGTTAAGGAGGACACCGACCCACGGGTCAGGCGACAAGGTAGTTCGGGCCCAGCATCGTCCACGACGCTGTAGGGGGTCTTTAGGCCCTTACTGGTCCAGGTTCCCGCTTCAATTACCAACTCGGACTCTCATGCCGTGTCGCTGCTGCCGCGGGTGGTCCGTGTATGGATGGTCCCCCCCCCCCCAAGGCGCTCAAGGGCGCCCCCACGGACCCGCTGCTGCTGGCGGACATCTTCCTGCGCCGGTTCTACGGCGGGGATGAGAAACACAGGTGGGTGGCAGTGGCAGTGGTGGTGGTAGTGGGTGTTCACGGTGTGAAAGCGCCAAGAAGATGGAGGCACGTGTGCACCCACTCAACACGTCATATCACAGCCGACTGCGGGTTGTCCGGTTGGGCAAGAGGGCAAGGGCTGAACCCGACGTAACCAAGCGGGTCGCGACCGGCCCCCGGCCACGTCCCCCTCGCGCCCGCAAGGAAGAGAAGGAAAGGAAGAGAACCAGCACCTCGCACCAACATGACGTAACCGCGCCAACACCTCCCAACTCTACCGTGACGTTCATCATGGCTGTAACGGCTAACGGCTAACGGACTTTTCGCCTAACCACTACGTCGTACAGAGCCGACGCGGAGCTCGTGTCCCGGTACACTATGCGCGAGCTCCAGTGCCTGGCCCTTACCGACGATGCTGTCGTACTGGGGGGTCATGTACGCTTCAGCGGCTCTCATCTGCTTGGTCCCGCGGTGCAGCGAGCAGGGGTGGCGTCGCCGGCGGAGGATGCGGCGAGAGACGAGCAGCTGCAACAGCAGCAACAGGACTCGAGCAGGGCGGGCGAGTCGGCGGCGGGGCCAGGGTCGTCAAATGGGACGGCCGCAGCGGGGGGGACGTTGTAGACGTGGATATAGCTGCGTGCGCGCATATGTGTGTGTGTGTGGTGTATGTGTCTCTCGAGGTTGGGGGCTGTGCCACGGCAGGATGTATGTGCGATATGTACGAGTCTCAGGAAGATCCTATTGCACCGATAATTGGTAGTTTGAGCTCGACTGGATGTTTACTTTTGTTTCGCAGATTTTTATGCGCTCGGGTAGTGGCTGATGTATTCAAGGTGTTTAATTTATTACTGAAATGTTGAAGATCGTGTTTGGTAGGTATTAGGGGTGTGGCATTATAACGTAAAATGCACGTTTGTCCATTATGTAGTGTAATGCTGTATCCGTGCAGACGCATGTGTCATCCGGATTTTTTTCATCATCTTATCACTTTACAAAGGATATCCGCATTCGAAGCACTTACAGGAGGGGGAGAAAATTGAAAATTTCCCCTTCCGCAAGACAAAGCCACAAAACTGCGAGCTTCTTCTTCCTTCTCACACGACACGTTGCTCCGTCGATAATGAATCGCCATTCTCCTCGTGCATAACGCAAACCGTACACCACCGTACTTCGCAGCTCTTAACACCGAAATAGAAGTCCCCAGGCTTCTACCATCCGTTAGCATCAGTACATGGATCTGCCAGTAACAACCGCAGGACCTGTCGCCTGGCGCTCTCCACCACACGGCAGCTGGCTTCACATCAACAATGCCGCAAAGAAGGGTCTAACGACGTCCTCAGCTCGGATGCAAGCTACAGCTCGCCGGCGCAGTGACGATTCCACATATCCGCTCAAGCACATGGAAGCCAGCGGACAGTACAGACTACTGTCACTGATTTCTACGTATGTGAAGGTGTAGGGCAGAAAGGTGGTGACTGACAACCCGTTCGTTGCGCAGTGTTCAGCGCAGCAGCGCAAGTTAAATGGCTGGCTTCTGCCCCAACTCCTCTGCAGAACGGGACCTGTCGCCGCTTCGGCCGCTATTCTCTCCTCCACTGCCGTCAAGACTTCCATACATACAGCGCTGCCCAACGCTCCAACGCGCTTCCCCCCATAATAAAGTATGTCAGCAACCCTGAAAGATAACCGCGGCCGGCGAGAGCCACAACTGCGCGCCCAGAAGCTCACAGCCCAGCGCCACCCGGTCCGTCCATGTCCAAGCGAGCGCCCACAACACTCCTAAAAACTAAGGCCCCCAGCACGAGCTCCGTCTGCAACAGCCTGTGGAACGCAGGCAGACAATGAAGCTTAGTAAACTCAGAAACAACGCAACATGACAGTAGGTAACGGGACAGAATGGCATACAAGAGGCGGAGGAGCACTTCCAAAGTTTTGATGAGACTGCATGGTGGAAGGCAGCAACGTATTAGCTGTCTTGAGCCACGGTAAGGTAGATACGAACGCGTTCCTCGGGCAGCAGCAGCAACAGCAGCAGCAGGATAGAAATATGATCTGCTTCGACAACGCGAGGAAGTGACGATAACCACACCCCTTCAGCCTCCCACGTCCCCACCTGGATACGACCGTGGTACTTGAAGCCGCCACGGTCGAAGCACACCTTGTCGATGTTCTTGGCCAGGCACAGCTCCGCAACCTTCTTCCCCACAGCCTCCGCAGCAGCCTACATCCCAGACCATAACCCCAGTTGCAATGGACATTTCACCGATTTTTCCCCTCCGACAACGCTCTGTCGCCAGTGAGTACATGTGGACAGAGCACGGCCTCAAAACACACCGCATGCGTTTAAGTGATATATGTGCAGAACATGAATCGGTGCAGAACGCGAATCTGACACGTGTTTTGAATTACTGCCAGCGGAACCAGCCAGATACCCCACGCTGCGTCCCCTGGTCCCTGGTTACGCTCCTCCCACCTGCCCAGGCTAGCCTCATACACGATATATCAGCACCCAGCCGGTGTCAAGCCGGTGTCCTAGAGAGAGACGTTTATCCCGCCGAGCCCTTCACTGGACCTAGCACCTGCTATTTTCTCAGGATTGCCCTTCGGTCTACGTCTACCTCTTCCACAACGTATTGCACCGGACAGTAAAGCCTGCACTATGTTCAATTCCCAGTTTTAGACGCACCACGTTCGCGCCGCTCTCCAGCGCGCCCTTCATGTCCTTCGTGACGCTGCTGGCCGACACCAGGGTGTGGCCGACCGAGTCATCGATGACCTGCAAGAAGGCGGCCGGGGTCACTCCATTATAGATTCTGCTTCATCCATTATACAGCTACACCCAATAGCAGCGGGCACTAGGACTAGGACAAAGCTGCAGAGTCGGCTCACCTGCACATAGATGTGCTCGTTGGACTTGAACACAGCCATGCGCGGGCGCTCGGACGTGCCGTCAAGCTGTGGAAACGAGGGTAAGAAATATCCTCCTGAACCCTCGTAAGCAATTCTACGGGCTGCGCAGGTCGCAAATTGCGCCGCACCACAAACCAGCTTCTGGTGTATACAACCACACCGTATAGCGTTTGATGCCATAGCGTCGACCTGCCGAATCGCACCTTTTTGCGAAGGCGCTTATGGCGTGCTTGCGTGCTCGCCTTCCTCGACTCCGCAGCCTTGGCGACCACAGGCGTGAACGCGCGAGACACTGCAAGGACCCCAAAGTAAATCATATGACTTAGCTAGGAATGGAGTGGATGATTAATAATACCATGCTTCTGTTCAGGAAGACCACGACCGCAAGAGACAGTCGCAGGCCGCAACCACGAAGGCTGTTTCCAATTCACTTTGCTAACACAAACCGTGTAAACACGGTAATCATTATATTATCCTGTACCTGGCCGTGTGGGAGCAAGGGTCGACAGGGCAGTCGCCCTGACGCTGCACGCCTGCATCCTGCTTATCCTTTCCCCAAAATAAGCTCCCAATGACGGATAGTATGGAAGACCGCTAGGTGGCAACCAATACGCAGTGCTCCCAATTTAAGGAATGCGTATGTAATGAAAACATTCCTCAGTCGGACTTTCGACTCCAGGAGAGGGCCAATAAACTGAACTCGTGTGTCGGTCGCTCGAATGCCAGCCAAGTTTTCGTCGTAGGACTTATCAACGTGAGATACATTAATGTTTAAACAAGTTTCCACGGAGACACCTCTGGTCGTAGCATCAGGTCCTAACTCTTCCGACACAACCGTCAAAGAGCGACGCGGTGCGATGGCGCCTAACGGCGCGGCTGCAGCTGGTATCAGTGCGGCCAATAAATGGAAGGTAAAATCCAAACGCAACTAGAAAGCCCGTCCAGACGAGGAGCGCTCTTGTTCTACTGACGCGCGCACCAACGGTACACCCCCTTGCCCCACTCTCAAACCCCTTGCATTCTTCACCTGCCATTCTTGCGCCCTATCATTGTGTGTAAAGAAATCTACATGCGTCTGCCACGCCCGGGCCACCCTAGGACCATGTCCTTGTCCATCAGTTGACCCGGGGTTCGGTGCGGGGAAGGAGCCGCTGTAATGAATAAACGAACATGTGCCCCAAGACCTCAAATCAGTAAGACTTTTTTAATTAATGTTTCCTTCTCGTGCTGGAACCTGCTTACGGACCTACCCCCGGCCAATGCGGCCAATCGGTATGCTCCGTACCTCTGTCAGCCCTTCACCTAACCCTAGCTCCCCATCGAGCCGGTGCCTCCCACCCACCACTGACATCATGCGCTTCTTTCTCCACGGAACCTTCAAACCCCAAACATAACTCCCGGGCCGTCCGTCTCTTCGACTTCTGTTCTGTTCTGTTCTGTTCTATGCACACAACACAGCTGCTTTCCCGGCGTATCGACGCCACGGATACCCCCGTGATCGACTTCACCCGGCGGCTCATGGCGCAGAGGAAGGACGCCCTGTCCCTGGCACAGGTGGGGTAAAGGAGTTGCTTCCTACGGGTGCTTGTACGCATGTACGCATGTATGTATGTATGTATGTATGACTTAGATTACACTGTGGGCTGCGAGAGCCGGGGGCCGAAGCCGAAACACAGCGCAAGGGTCGGGAGCACACAGCACAAGTCGGTTAGTCTTGTGTGCTCCCGACCCCGACTCAGACTGCCAACACACTCCGCAGCCACTCCGCAGCCACGCCATCCGGGGATGGGGCTGCAGTGAATACACCACGAAGGGCTCTCAGGACCCCCTAGAGTTCCGATTTCGTATGTATGTATGTATGTATGTATGTATGTATGTGTGTATGTACGATGTGTGCGCCGGCGGCCGCCCCAGGGTATCGTGCACTGGGGCCCTCCTCCGGCCGCCCTGGAGCGATTGACCGCCCGCTTGGTTTCGGAGCCTGCTGCGATCAGCGGCTACGCGCCCAATGAGGGGCTTCCGGCTCTGCGGGCGGCGCTGCGACGCAAGCTGCTGGAGCGCAACCGCCTGCCGCACGTGAGATTCACGTAGGCAGTTGAAATGGCGGTTGGGACGACGGTTGGGAGGGCCGCACCTAGCTCTAGTTCTTCAGTTCTCTTGTTGTGCCGTACTGAGTGTTGTGCTGCCTGTGCGTTCACTTTCCTGTATCGAACCCGCTTGCGGCGCCACCACCACAACCACCACAACCACCACAACCACCACAACCACCACAACCACCACAACCACCACAACCACCACAACCACCACAATCACCACAATCACCACAACCACCACAACCACCACAATCACCACAATCACCACAATCACCACAATCACCACAACCACCACAACCACCACAACCACCACGTCCGGGACCGGGGGGAAAAGTGAAGGGAAGAAGGAAGTGGTGGTTCCTCCGCCTGCATTAGGTCAGGTCGAGCTGCCTTCGTGTCTCCATGTCCCGGTCTGGCGGTCCATCCTGTCGGACCGGGTTCCCCCACCCGCCCCAACAGCGCCAAACCCTCTCCCCCCCTCCCCACCCACCCATGTGTGACCTGAACCCCACATACCCAAATCCGACAGTACGACGTTATCGTCACGCCGGGATGCAATCAGGTACGGAGGCGAGTCGCCGTACCGCACTGTACGGGATGTACAGAGGCGCAGTGGGGAGTTCCTGGTGGGTCACTTTCAGCCGGGGGAAAGGAGGGGGAGGGGGTTTTCCGCCACAACACGTCTGTCCGACTGTGTCTGTGCGTGTGTGGCTGTATGTCTGTCATGTCTTCAGGCATTCGTGAACGTGCTGCTGTCCCTGTGCGACGTGGACGACAGAGTGGTGCTATTCCAGCCGTACTACTTCGACCACCTCATGGCGATACAGGTAAATAATTATTAAACCCGTTAACGCGTGTGTCTGTATGTTTATGTATGTATGTATGTATGTATGCATGTATGTATGTGAGTGTGATTGTTTTTGTCCGCCGCTGCCGTCACAACCCCCACAGCCGCCATAGGACACGTCAGCAGTTTGTTTAGTTTTTGTTGCTACGTAGAACTTCCCCCCTCCGCCCCGTGGTTGGGTCGGATTGGGTTGGTTCCTGGGTGACCCGTGGGTCGCACTGCAGATGACTGGCAGTGCGGATCGAGTCGTGTTGGGGGAGTGCGACCCGGTCACCATGCGACCCTCCCGGGAGTGGTTGCGGAGGGAGCTGTCGGGCCCTATGCCGCCCAAAATGGTGGTCATCGTCAATCCCTGCAACCCCACAGGTACCATGGGGGCCCCATAGCCGTTAGCGGTTGGGTTTACGGTTGAGGAACAGGGCACACTCTGGATCTTAACCCAACTGTCGGCCACAGAGATCAAGATCTATCACAGATAACGACCGACGACGTACCAACTACCGTACGGCATCAGAAGCAATGCGGCCTCACCTGCCCACTGCCACCTGTGGTAGCGATCTTGTTGTTCGTACACTTGGCAAGTCCCTGACCATGCGCGCCTTCCTCCCTCCACCACGACATGTCGTACGTAGGGTTGTTGCTGACGCGTGACGAGCTGAATGAGATCAGCGGCCTGTGTGCGGCTGCGGGTACCTGGCTGGTGCTTGATAACACGTACGAGGACTTCATATTCGCACCGGGTGGGGCTTCGGGGGGAGAGGGGAGGGGGAGAGGGAGGGGGAAGAGGGAGGGGGAAAAAGGGAGGGGGAGAGGGAGGGGGAAAAAGGGAGGGGGAGAGGGAGGGGGAAAAGGGGAGGGGGAGAGGAAGGGAAAAGGGGAGGGGGAGAGGGAGGGGGAAAAAGGGAGGGAGAGAGGGAGGGGGGAAAGGGGGAGACATGACAGGACATTACACACATCACACCACCACCATCCTCCTGCAACCCAGCGCAGGAGGGGAGCACTACTGCCCCGCAGGACCCCACGTCATCCACTTGTTCTCAATGTCCAAGGTACGGACAAAACGTACCGTATATGTACGACACCGTACTGTGTGTCGTACACGGTGACTGCTGCCTTTTCGGTCTGACACGGGGCATATGCTTGTGAGTACGTGTTGCGAAAGCGACGAGTGTATTAGGAGGGAGGGACTGGGTGTAGGACTGGGAACAGCAACAACGTACGGCGGAACTGCTCACATTGTACTGCAGGCGTACGGCATGATGGGCTGGCGCGTTGGTTACATCGCGATTCCTGACTACGATCACCACAACAAGGACGTGGAGGGGGAGGTGAGGGCAGCCGCACCAGCTGGGCCCGATGGGAACGGAACACCGGCGGAGGCAATGACTGCGACCGCCGCCGCCGCCGCCGCCGCCTGCGGCACCGGGTCACCTCCGCCACCGGCTGCTCGCGCTCCCGCCGCTGCCCCCGGGGCCTTGGGCCTGGCTCAAATGAAGGTGCGGGTGTTGTGGCGGTGACCACGTGACGGAGGTCGCTACTTGGGAGGGGGAGGGGGAGGGGGAGGGGGTTAACAGCACTCCCAGTTTACAGATGCCAGTCCGACGTGGTGCCGTTGCTTTCCCTTGTCGGGCGGCCGTATTAGAAGTAGTCGAAGTCGTCAAGCGCGGGTACGAGTTACCCTCATTCCCCCTCTTCTTCTTCTTCGTCGTCTTGTTCTCCTTGTGTTCTTGTTCTGCCTGTTCTTGTTCTTGTTCTTGACATTCTTTGCTTGTGCGTGGACGTCCAAACATAATCCTGATTTCGGCGTTGTGTCGCCCCAAATCAGGTGCCACGTATGCCGTGTCGTACCCAGCGTGGTTACCCCGGCCGCTCCCCGGCGATCCGGACTCCCTCCCCCCCCACGAACAGCCGCAACCCCCCCTCGAACCCGATTTCGCGAACAGGCACGTCCGTGTCACTCATTCTGATGGTATTCGCGCCTCTTGTGTTTTTCCCCCCCCGTCTCCCCCCCGTCTCCTTCCCGTCTTGCCCCCCCATATACCACGTTGACCTTTTCTTCGTTGCATCCGATTTCCCCCCTCCCTCTCCCCCTTCCCCCCTCCTTCTCCCCCTCCCTCCCCCAACCACCCACCCCAGGTGCAAGACGCGGTGTGTATTTGTGCCCCCCAGCCAAGCCAGCTGCTCGCACTGGAGGCTCTCGGTCCGGGGGGCAGGGAGCACGTGGACCAACACGTCAGTAAATTGGCAGGTGATAATCACAGGACAGGAAGGGGCGCTGGAACTCCGGGACCGCGAAATGTCCCCCCAACTCACCCCATCCCACCTCAACCTCAAGAACAAAACCGTTCGGCGGTTTTTCTTTTCCGACCTCCAAAACCGTCAGATGGACGCAGTTTTGCCTTAATGATGAAACCGCTGGCACTATCGGCACTAGTGTATAAACTCGAGGCATATTAGGAAAAATATTTTAAAACCTGTGAACTTTCCTAAATCTCTAAAACCTCTTAAACCCTAAAACCTACCGTAAACCTCCTCAGCCAATCGCGACCTGCTCCGTTCGGCGCTGAGCTGTCTGGAGCCGCACGTGCTAGGCGGTGAGGGGGCCATCTACTTGTGGGCTCGACTACCCCCCAGTTGCGGGGGTGACGACCGGGGCGCGGTGGAGTGGCTGGTCCGGGAGGCCGGTGTGTGCGTCATTCCGGGCTCGGCGTTCGGAATGCCGGGTGAGTCTCCAGGGAGGGGAGGGGAGGGGGGAGAAACCCTAAAACCCTAACTTCTTTCCCCTCCCTAGGGGGAAGAGGAAGGAAATTGGATAGGTGTTGTACAAAGCAGGGGACGCACGACAGGGGCGGTCCGTCAATGAGGGGGAAAAGGGGGGAATGAAACGTTGTGTATCGCGATGATGATTTGCTACCCCCGCCGCCACAGCCTCTTCTGGCTTCAGATGGCTCCGTTCTGTCTTGCTGCTCAGTCAAGTATTAAGATATAGTTAGGGTAATCTCTAATTTAGGACTTGCTTCCTCCTCGAGACTTGGTTGCCCCTTGGCTGATCGCCCCACATCAATACGTTTGTTGTTCCCGTGCGAATGTGGGCACGGTGCATAGCACCAACATGCAGTCTTGAACATGGAAGATTTTCTGAAGCCGGTAAACAAAGGAAAAAATGGATTTAATATAGAAAACTGCCTATAGGGGTTCCCCGAACGGGAACCTAACTACCTGAGAAAGTCACGAATGAAATCCCCGTGTTGCTAAATAAAACCTATACAAATATTTATACTCTGGTATACCAATAAGTAATTAATTTTGCATGTGTGTTAATTACAATCTCGCAATTGGAATATGAAATCCTACTTAGAGCCACAGCGCTATTTAGTCCAATCCTTGTTATAAATTTTTTTAAGACAATAAATACCACCCACTTAAAACCCGTTGAACAGGATATATCCGGTGCTCCTACGCGAATTTGCCGCCGGAGAAGTTCCCGGCTGCGGTGGAGCGTTTGAGAGAGGGTCTGGAGCATCTGGTGGCGTACGGCATGACGGACATGGGGCAACAGCAAACAATGCCGTAAGATGTGCCGTACGGTGAATGCCGTACGAGGTTATTTGGTGCCAGTCGTGGGGGGCGGGCGTGGTTCCCCAGCGGACCGGGTGCTGTGCTGTTTGGCGCCGTCCAGGACCAGGCGGTCCCCCAACCCCCAACCCCCAACGCCGGGGGGCAAAAGGACACACAATCGCCCTTTCTGTAGCCCGTACCCCCTCCTACCTCCTCGTCCTACTTCCTCCCTCATATCCTACACACCAACACCGCCCAGGGTTTTAGGGTTTTAGGGTTTTGGTGGGTGACAGTCGGGGCTCGTGTGCTCGGCCCTTCAGGGCTAAGGTCGGCTGAGCTCCTGGAGCAGCGCACGGGGGGCCGGTGAGGTGGAGGTTTGTGTGGAGGAGGGGGTGGGCGGGGGGAGTGAGGAGGAGGAGGACGAGGAGGAGGAGGAGAGGAAGAAGAAGGCGGCAAGGGTAGGGTGGGAAAGCGGAAGGCGCGAGGGTACGCTGGCGACCTAGAGAGGAGGGCTCTACGCAAAGAGGGCTTCAAGCGGGGCGAAACACGACATTTTCGTTTTTTCTTGATGGTTGATGATTTCAAAAGCTTGGGCGATAAGAGGAGTTTCGATGCTTGCTGAATGCATGGTCTTTCTAAAACAAGTATTTTTATTTTTGGAAATTAAAAGCTATAAAGATATGCTTTGTATTGGGGCCGAGAGGCCCAGTTTGCGCCGTGTGACAGGCCTGGTTATGGTTACAGGTTAGCGGGGCATGCTGGCGTTTTTTGGGGTTGCTGTAATTTTATGTTGGTGTCTTGGGGAATCCCTGCCGGGATGTTGCTCGGGATGTTGCTCGGGTGTATGTGTGAGCGAGGAGGACAGGAAATGGTGGTTTACATATGAATTGCAGTGGAAACAGGCTTTGTAGGTTAACAAATGCCGGGACGTGCCGTGGTCTGACTGCCGTGCAGCAGGCTCCAAAACCCTCCGAAGCACGCCTGGCTCGTCGCTTGTCTGCTTGTTGGAAACAATATCTATCCGTTTCCCCTTCTTGTCGAATTTTCCAGGCACAGCTATTCTTGGCGGAACCCACTCCCGTAATCGTCGGCTGTGCACTCAAACGGATTTAAGGTCGGCAGCAGTTCTGGCGCTGATGGTTGTGGTTCTGGGCTTGACTGACCCATGTGCCGCACCATGCCTGTGTAATCTCTATGCGTTGTATTTGAGAAGCTGTAAAAGCGTTGCGGAGAGTAGACGCAACATAATCGAACACCTGTGCCATCCCCGAAGCCGGCAAATCGCGCCATGATGCCTACGCATCCTAGTTGCGTAGATTCTGTGGGTGTATGATACATTTGCGTGCTTGCGACGCCCACCGGAAGTTTTGTTTTGGCGGCAGTCCAGCTCGTACATCAGCCTTCAACTTCTCACTGCTGCACAACCGAAGCTTCGGTGTTATGCATATGGATTGGAACCTGAGCTGAGAATAAATCTATTTCTTCAGCGCCGTGCAATCACCACAATTAAGCCCTTCCTTCAGCTGGGTTCGCAATTTCGACGTGAAGCAACGAGTCTCGACATACTAAATTTCTCACGACATCATATTCACTCGACTTCATTTAGCATCTAGCCGTTGACCTGACATATTGCACGTAGACTGGATGCAGTGACATCCTGTCGTCTTGCCTTCGCTTGTAGCGTGCTTCTGGACACAGCAGACACAAACTATTGTGCTTCACATGCGGCAATAATAAAGTGTGCAAAGAGGTGGGAGCCGGCGCGGGGACCCTGCCTTCCAAACCATCGCGCTTGCCTGGTTCAGACAGCCGATTAAGGTCCCTCTCCAGTATCAGAAGCACATAAGATACTTGTCTCCCACTCTAAGATTGTTCATGACGACGTTTGGCGTCCGCGGTTGCAGGGACATTTACAGCCTTGGCCGGCAAGTGTAGGGCGTCAGGATGCAGCCGGGCATGCAACCGGGCATGCAGCCCGGTATCCCGTCCAACATGCAGCCTGGACTGGCATCCATGATGCAACCCGGTATGCAACCCGGCATGCAGCCGGGGATGGCGCCAGGCATGCAGCCGGGGATTACCCCTGGAATGCAATCCCTCATGCAGCCAGGTCCAGGGATGCAACCTACCGCAATGCAACTCATGCACCCCGGATTGCAGCCTGGGATGCAGCCGGGCATGCAACCCGGACTACCCCCTCCTATGCAACCAGGACCACCTGCCATGGCGCCCAGTCTACAGCCTGGGATACCGCCGCCATCCATGCAACCAGGACCATCTGGCATGGCGCCCTCCATGCAGCCAGGAATACCGCCACCCAGCATGCAGCCAGGGCCGCCGCCACAGCCGCTTTCTATGCAGCCGGGGCCGCATCAGGGCCACAGCATGGGCTCCATGATGCCGGGGCCCGCACCGAACCATGCCATGGCGCCGGGCGTCATGAGCCGCACCACATCGGCACCGCAGCCCCAGCAGCAGCAGCAGCAGGCCCCGGCGCCTGGCGGTGGCAACATCATGGGACATACCGCTCCCGGGGCGCCACCCCACACGGCGCAAGGCATGCACTCCATTATGCGTCCTCAGCCCATGCAGGCCATGCCGCCGCCGCAGGTGCCGCCGTCGACAGCGGTGGTGCAGCAGCAGCAGCAGCAACAGCAGCAACAGCAGGCAGGTCCGCCGCCGCAAGGCAGACCGCCATACCCTGGGCCAGGTACGGGGGCAGGTACGCGGATAAACCAAACGTTTATTCGTGCAGAGCAGGCGGATGGGTCTGTACGCCGTCGCGCCTCCTTGCCATAAGGGTTTGCTACGTCGTGTCGTGTGCTCCAGATTAATCCGTGATCCGTGAGGGCAAGTTAAACCGAATGATATATGAATGACTTCTGTGCCGCGGGAAACCATCACTCATCCCCCCGTGATTTTACGCTAGCTGTTGGGAGAGCCTGGAGTGGGCCCGCGGTCTCGCGCCTTCTTGATGGATTTTCGCTGTGTGATGTTGTGTGGACCTCTGGGCCCTGGCGTCTGCCGTCGGCCTCACCACCACCACCACCTCGTGCTGTTGTTTCTTATGAACTTTTCCAGCCCGATGTGTTCCAGCTTCCATCCGTTTGCCTACCTCATCAACCAGCCCCCCCGGCCGGGCCCCATTACTGCTGTCGCCATTCCCTGGTGTTATGTATATGCGAGGGGGTGTCGCCCACTTTCCAACGCCATGTCACGGCTGCATCGCATTTCCCACTGCCCATCTGCAGGTCAGCCAGGGGGGCCCCCGTCCATGGCGCCAGGGCCGCAGCCCACGCCGTCGGCCTTCCAGCCGCAGCAAGGCCCCCCACAGATGCAGCCCCAGCAACCGCCAGCATCGCAACAATCATCGCAGCCGCAGTTGCAGCAGCAATCGCAATTCAGTCAGCAGCAGCAACAGCAACAACAGCGTATGGAGCCACAGATGCCGCATGCGGCCACACCGCCGCCGCCGGTGGCAGGGGCCCCGCAGCAGCAGCAGCAGCAGCAGCAGGTGCCGTCGCAGGCGCCCGGCGCGCAAGCCGCCCCGCAGCAGCTCCTAGCCACGCTCATTCAGCAACAGTTCCAGCGTCAGGGTGGCCAGGCCCAACTGAATGTGCAGCAACTGCAACAGGCGTTGCAGATCTTGCAGCAATCAGTGCTGCAGCAACAGCAAGCGCAACAGCAAGCACAGCAGCAAGCACAAATCCAGGCGGCGAACGCGGCCGCGGCGGCCGCGGCGGCGGCAGCAGCAGCGTCGCGAGGGGCAAAGGGCAAGCCGGGCAAGAAGCCGGGCAAAGGGCCAGACGACGATGGCGCCGCCGTGCCAGCGGCGGGACAGCTTGGAGCGTACGGCAGTACGGCAGCGGCGCCAGCTGCAGCGGGGACGGCGGGCGCAGGCGTGTCGCCGTCAATGCTTGCCGCCATGTCAACCTTGGCCGCGGGCCTGCCCCGCCCCGCGGGGGGTGTAACAGCCGCGCGGCCGCCTGGAGTCCCAGGATCTGGATCTGGATCTGCACCCGGCCTGCCGCAAGCCGCCATCGTCGGCGCGGGCGCGGGCGCGCGACCGCCAGCGCAGCCGCAGCAGGCGACGGCGGCAGCGGCCGCAGCTTCCATGGCAGCAACGGCAGCCGCGCAGCAGCAGCAAATGATGATGCTAGCGAACAAGCCCAAGCCCAAAGTGCCGTACAAGTCCGACCTGGTTTATGCGCCTGACGGCAGCATCATTGTCAGTGACGACGGCCCGGAGCCCGGAGGGGAGCCCGGAGGCGGCGGCGGGGCGGCGGGCGCCGCCGGCCGCACCGGGGCCGGCAAGCGTGCCCGCGGCGACGACGACGGTGAAGATCCCTTGGATCTTCTGAAGGGTATCGTGGACATCGAGGCGGAGAGTCAGTCGAATTTGGGGACGGGAAAGGCGGTTGGGGACTTCACGCCCATGTCGGTGCAGGTGGGTCATGGGGTGGCGGAGGACCTAAGTTGTACACGTACCAGTTATGCGGAGCCACCGTCACACCGCGAACGTATGGTGGCCATGCAGTACGTCGCTACCGTACCACTGCCGCACAATCACCATCAACACCAGCACAAGCACCTAAGATTTTCGTCTCGATTTCTGTCCAATAGGCGGTTCCCTTCCGCGCCAAAAGGCGTTTCCGTTAAACTTTTCTGAGGGAGAAAAAGGGAAGTCTAGCCTAACAGGAGAAACCATGAAATGTACTGATTATCTATATGTCTGTCTGTCTGTCTGTCTGTCTGTCTGTCTGTGACACACGCACCCCCCTCCTGTCTCCCCTCGTCAAACACACGCACGCACACACACGTGTCCAGGAGGAGTACGTGCTCAATGAAGAGCCCACGCTGGTACGGATACGTGACGTGGCACGAAAACACAGCATGAGGCGACTGGCGCCGGATGTGTTCCCGTACCTGGCGCTGGCTGCGGAGGTACGAGACGTGACGAGAGACGTGATGGGAGCTGTTGGGAGGTGGCGCGAAGTGGTTTGTGTGTGCCGGGGGGGTTTGAAGGGGCCGGGGTGGTGGTGAAAAGCTGCGTAGCTGACGCGAAGAAGCTGCGGTACAATAGGCGTTCCGAGCTCGTAGGTTTCGTGACTACCATCATCATCATCATCATCATTATTATTATCATCATTATTATTATTGTCATCTGACTATCGCCACCTCTCCTGGCCTCCACCCTTCCCTTTCCCCGCCTCCTCCTCCTTCACTCGTTCACGGTTCGTCTTTCCCCCCCCCTCCTCCTCCTCCTCCTCCTCCTCCCCCCCAGGCGCACCTCTCCCGGCTGCTGCGTTCCGTGGGTCGTGTGGCCTCCCAGCGCCTCGACCCGGGTCGCCACGCCGTGGTCCCCCCCACCGCGGTGGCCAGGTCGGGGGTGAACGCACAACACCATATACAGCGGCTGAGGAAGACGGACGAGGTGCGGATGGCGGCCAAGAAGGAGCAGGTAGGCCCTCGGGCAGGGGGGCGGGGGAGGAGGATGGAGAGGGTGTAGTGGAAAGGGTGTGGGGTGGGGCGCGGATGGGGGGAAGGGGTTATCGGCTCGTTGGGCCGTTTGGTTTTGTTTTTGTGGCGATGGTTGTCTATGAGGAATGCTGTGGTTTTGGAGTGAGAGTGGGGGGTATGTGATGCTGGTGTGATGGGTCTTCGCACTTGGGCGGTTGTTGTGTGTTTCAAGTCCCGTCGTGTCCTGTCCGCACAGTCATTGCTGCTGCTGCGGTCATATATGCCGCTACTGCTGCTGTTGCTGCTACTGCTGCGATCACCGTCATTATTATCAGCAGCAGCACCATCATGTAATTATCCTTCCTTTTCCCCCCTCCTCCCAACCACCCCCCAACCACCCCCCCAACCACCCGTCAGGAGGAGGAGGCTCTCCGTGCGGGTTTGCTGCCCAAGGCGGACGGCGGTACCGCCACCCGGGGCCAGGCCGCCCAGATGAGCGAGGCGGACAAGGCGGCGGCGGCCCAGCTCAAGGTACACACACACCTGGGTCAGGGAGGCTAGGGAGGGAGGATAACCACTGGGGGGGGGGGGCGGTGCGGTAACTGGTGCGGGTGGTGATGGAGTTGCACCTCAGAGGATGTAGGCTTTACATGAGTGCCGTAGATTCGTGTTCGCGTGCTGGGGAAGGGGTAAATAAGTTTACTAAAGGTTGGAAAAGTCCGTGACTTGTGTTGCCTGGTTGGGAATCGTGGTTGTGGTCATACCGACCGTGTGCCGCTCCTCCATCCCATTCTCCATGCAAAGCCGCACGGCCTACCGACCAAGGTAAGCAGGATTCCCCAAACTTTCATTCATGTGATAATAATGATGATGATGATGGTGATGATGGTGATAATGATGATAACGATAATGGTGATGATGATTATGGTGATGATGATGCGCAGGCGAAGGAGGTGCAGAAGGCCGCGCAGGCCAAGGCTCAAGCCACACTCAGCACCATCTTCTCAGGTATCAAGCGCCAAAAGACCTACGTCAACCAGGCCGCAGCGTCAT